GAGCACAAGAACCTTGTGCTTCTGATAGATCTGTTAATTTAATTTTGTTAGGACTTGGCAGTGTGGTGGCAGACACACTGTTTCACAACCTGGAAACACAATTGGAGCCCCTGCGTGCTCAGGCTCAAGAGTCTTGTTTTCTTTGCCTCTCTTTGAAGGATGCAGTGAGTCCCAGATGTAGTCAGATTGGTGCCTGCTGCTCTTTTGATTTATTTGGCTCTGTCCAGAAACAAGTCATCCTCCTAACCCCTGTGACTGATTAATCAGGAGTATGGTGCCTTTGCTGGTAACTCTCATCTTTTGTCAGAAGCAACACCAGGAACATTTTCAGATGGTTCAAGATATATTCAGTTTGAATTCAGTTAGTCTGTCCTGCAGCTGTCCATAAATGCCTTTTTTTTTTTTTTTTTTTCCTGTTGAGCTATATAATTTCTGCCTGAATCTGCCTCCAACCTACTGCAATGCCAGCTTTTTGTGCACGGGGCTATTTCTTGACTGAAAGATGTTACGCAACATAGTTTTTCATATCAAACTGAAAGTCTATATTCTAACCTACTCAGGGTAAATAAAACACAAACCCCCCTTCCACCAAAAAGCCTGTAATGTTGCAATAAATGCAGTCTCCTTCTAAATGGTTTATTTATGCTGCATTATTTTAAAAGATGTAATTTTATAGTGTTTTATCCATCTTTCTGGCTTTGGCTGTCAGTCTTGTGTTAAAAGAAATAATATTAAATAGTCTTTATTCAGTTTACAGTGTTGTCATTAGTGAGATACAAAGATAATGACTGTAAGCCAACTAAGACAGAGTGTCTCTGTGCACTAAATTTAGGAATGCAGACTCCTAGTGGAGTGGATCTTTCTGTATCTGATCAAAGCTGCTCTCTGTACCTGCTGGGGGAGGATAGCGCCTGCAGCCAACTTGCTGAGATGGCTGGTGGGTTTGTAACCCTCTGCCACATGCCCTGTGTAGCCTTACCAACACCCCTGTCACAGCCATGGTTCATACAGTGGCTTAGTGACCCCCTGTCTGTCCCCTTGCAGATCCCCTGCCCCAGCACAAATGGAGACAGGCTGAAGGGAACAGGCTTTGCACCTCCCTGACACGTTGCTGCCATTTGTGAAGTGCAGACAGGCAGAACTGCGTCCGTGAGGGTGGAGAGGTGTTGTGCAAGGTGTGCGGGGCTGTGGTGCCACTGTGGGCAGTGTTCTGTTCTGGTGGGTGCAGGGGTGGCATGGCTGCACTGGGAGCCTCCCTGGGGGGGTGGGCGTTTCCCCTGTGTGCATTGTGGGGCTGAGCAGCAGGAGGGTCCTGCTGCAGTTGGGTTTGTGTCCACGTAATGCAAGATAACAACGTGGTTTATGTTTTGTTCTTGTCGTGGTTATCCCCAGAGGGCAGGGACATGCTGGCCCCTTTGCTTTTCTCCTGCACCTTCATTTTGTGATGCAGTTCTTGCATGGCAGCAAGAACTGCTTTGAACACGCAAAAAACAGTCTCCAGCTGGCATGGCTGGGACAGTCCTCACATCTTCCCTGTGGTGTCTGAGGGTGAGAGACTGCTAATGCCTGTGGATTCCCCTGCAGTTGTGTGGATTCTTCTGATGGGGCCTGAAGTGAGACAGCTGGGGGATTTAGCAACCTCTTCTGAGCCTTTCTGTCCTTCGCATAAGTGTTTTCCATGCTACTTTTGCTGCTTTTTGCTGAGTCTACCTAAAACATGCTTCTGATTGAACCAGATAACTTCAGAAACTGCTTTGTGACAGAAATTAGTAGAACAACCTACCAAAGACTTTGAAATCAGAAGTTAATTTGGAGGTGTGGTTGGCAGCAGTGAGGTGCTGCACCTGCCCTTCCTGAGTGGGAGTCAGGAGTAACCTTCACTGCTGTCTTCACAACTACTGTTGGTGTGTTCTAGGAAAAGCAACGTGTCCCTAGTTTTTGCTGACTTTTAGGCACACAGGGTTTGCCGTTACCCCTTTGTGTGTGCTTCAGGTAGGCTGCAATTCAGGTGAAACTGACGGGAGCTTGTATGAGGCAAGAGCAGCCGGGTTCTGTGAGAGCCCTATGGACTGTGCATCCCAATCAGTCATGTTGTATGTGTTTTGTTGTTTAATTGTTGGTCTGCTTTCCATGCTGCTTGTATACGTTGGTTTCCCAGTGGACATTTGATTGTCCCCAGTGCTGTGTGATCAAGCGCTGTGCTGCCAGGTGGTTGTTAACACGCTTGGACAGGAGGAGATCTGGGAATAGCTGGCAAGAGGGGGCAGTTGCAACAAAGCCCTGAGATTCCTCAGTGCCAGAAAATTTTCTGTCCTTCTCTCCTTGTTGCCCCAGCATTTGGCATATTCACAGTAGCATTTTTAATAAAGGGAGCAGTTTCTACCACTGTACATCTGGTAAGACGTTGGGTTCTCAGAAAGGGGCTTGTTCTGTTAACACTCTGCAGTCTCTGAGAACAGTGCAAAATCTCCTCTGCAAAATCTGCATTTCCCAAACCCCTTTAATTATTAGTCAGAGAGCAACACAGCTTGGGGTCCTCTGTGTTAAAGGTGTTGCTGTTTTGTGACTTGTGGGGATTTACTGGTTACTTAGAGTTTCTAGATGGGTGCAGAAACTTAAACATGTGGAGAGGGTCTAATTACCAACATCAGTAGCTCTGGTTGCCAAGCTGTGACTGAAGTGAGCTTACTTGCTGTTCAGCTGAAGGCTTTAGAAGTTGCTTTAGATGTAGAAGTTGCTTTAGATGGTAGAGGGGTGGAAAATCAGCACTGTGTAAGTGCTGGTACTGAATTACCTAGAACAAAGTATGAATTTGGCACCTCTAATGCTGACTGTGTCCAGCAAGACTAGTTTGCAGAACTTCATACTGGTATCTAAAATGCACTTTAGGTTATTTTATCTTTAACCCAATTGCTGCAATTTATTTTGTATATACTTTCACAAAGTTTATTTTTGCTCTGAGTAAAAGTTAACAGGGGTGTGCAAAGATGAGCACTTAACTTGGTGCAATACTTGTAGCTAAAAATCACTGTTTCACGTGGTATGTCTGTGTCTGTCTAACGGGGTGTGTGTGTGGTGACTGCTCAGTGACATCCTGCCCCTCCCTGTCTGTACCCCAGAGAAATTATGCATCATTAGCAAGTCCAATCTATGCAAATCTTCCACTGAGAGCACTGTGCTTCGCAGGCCTTTTCTCTCACGCTTTTCTTGGGGGCTGCCTGTCCCTTCTGCTGGACACAGCTGCACTCTGTCTCACGCCCCATCCCTGTCCCTGGGCTGCACTGCCACGCAGGGACCAGCAGGAGTGACGAGCTGTTCTGAAACAGCCACATAGCACCTTGGAAAGTGGTTGACGGTCATGTTTGGTGCCCTGTTTATCTGCCTTATTCCACGGAGGGTGGCCTTCTGCAGCCATCCAGGTATTGTTTTTGCAACTGCAGTGACGTTGTTAAACTGTTTACAGCACTTGTCCTGCACGAGGGGGAGCAAACCAGTGACTGGCCTGAGGGTTCTGGGCCTGTGGGGTGAGCAGGGAAGGTGCTGCTGCCCTGGGAGCTGGTTGGAGTTGAGAAGCTGCTCCTGGTTTGGGGGGATGCAGCCGTAACAAGAGGCAGCCAGGTCTGTGGTGTGGAGCAGGTGGGATGTGGCTCTGGGACCTTGGGTGGGTCACCCACCTCTGCCTTGGTTCCCTCTGGGAAATCAGAACAATGAAACTTGTCTTTGTGAAACACTTAGACATCCGTGGGTGGAAGGTCCTTGGTGTTAGTGACCTGAGCCAGCTGGGCAGAGCTGCTAGAGTCAGTTTGGACTGTATGGCAACAAAAAAAACCCATCATGTCTTTAATAAACCCTGCACATTTCTGACTGCATAGTTTTTAATTGGTACACTATTTTTTTCCATAACATATTTTGGAAACAATGTCAAGTTTTTATAAATGTTTCCTGTAGTTGAGACTCATGGACAGGGCTGAACTTTAAACTTCTTTTGCGTCTTGTCTTGATATATATCATATATTCTAGAAGTTGGGTTCTGTGTCTGCACTGAGAAATGCAAATTAAACTGGATATTTATGTAGTAGTGTTCATAGTCTTAAGTGTGTGTGTTCTTGGAACTAGTTTCAAAATCCTACACCATGCTTTTGGTGGTGTGCAGGCTGGCCAAAATTTGGTTCATTATGCAGTGTACACTTTCTCAAATGCAGTTTCTACTTTTTCTTACAGGAAATTTTTTTCATATGATGTTTTTCAGCAAACTCAAGGGTCTGTTTTTGCAGTACCGTACTTACAGTAGCTAGTCTGTCTTGCTGTGTAGCTTTGTGTCCTTCTACTTGCTTTCCCACGTGGAGCTGTCTGACCCTTTCTGGAGGTGTCCTTGCAGTTCTGTCCCCCCAGGCAGAGCGGCAGCAGGGGGGACACAGACTCCCAGTCTAGATGGTTCCTGGAGCCAGTTCTGCATCACCCTTGGCAATCTGGGAATCTGGGAGGACCATAGGGGTCTGTTTCCTGCTTCTGCTGTGATTGAGAGGTGTGGGTAGCTGGGCAGTGGGCTTGGAGATGACAAATTAAAAGAACCCAGTTTTTCAAGAATGTGTGTATTGTATTAAAGGAATTTATTTAACTATGAAACATGGGAACAAATGTGCTTACATTGAGCAATGTGAAGATGTTAGTTACAGGTACAGTACTTCCAAAGGAAGAGCATCTCCAAAACCCAAAAAAAGAGTAAATATGAATTTGTATTTTTTGAAGAATGTAAAATGTGAAATACTGGTGTTTGCTTAATTGCTCATTTTGTATGAAGTTAATATTGTACTTTGAAATATCTGCAAAGAAGTGGAAATTAACTTTTTTTGGAATTGAAAGCAATATTAATACTAATGAAATCCTAATTAAATGCTTACTTAAACATTGTGTGATAATAGTCTTTCCTCAGCGTATTTATAAATCACCTGGGAGAGGAGTGTGAGGATCCTTCCCAGCCCCACACGTTCGATCAGGACATGAAGGTACTTCCAGGTCCTGAAAGACAGTGTTTGCCTGGGCAGGATCCTCCCTCCCCCTCTAACAGCCTTCACCAAGGAACTTCTCATCCTTGATCCACTTGGGTATGGAGAAGAGCTAGTGTGTTTAATTACCCTACAAATTGTTCTTTGTTTGTGAAAAGGAGACACTCTGTCGCAGTCCCTTTCCTGCAGCCACTAGCTGTGCCCAGCACAGGCACCTGGAGCGCCAAGAGCTGAGGGGAAGGGGAAGGCAGCACTGCACCGGGTCAGGTTGGCAGCTTTAGCATTCCCAATAAAGAGGATGTGGACTTTGGGGGAAGCTAGTGGCAATCAGGAAAAAGGACTGAATCTCCACTCTGGATAAATTAAACTTTCAGTGTAGCAAAATATTTCCATGTGGCAAAACCTCCCCAACAGCTGAAGAGCATCTCAGCCTCCTTGCTCTGCTGGATGTGGTGGTGTCCATCTGGGACCCCAGGATTGTGATTAGCATTGGAGATGGAGCTGCTGCCCCCAGAACAATGCCCACCCTCAGTGCTTTTCCAGCCCTTCCACCAGCAACTGGCCCTGATCCTGGGAGCAGTCAGGAAAGGGCGATGAAAGGGTCAAGTCCCCGAGGGCTGCACCACCTCAGTAAGAAGCAGCCTAAGACAATAGACTAACCACAGACTAAGACAATATTGCTTTATTTTAATGTGCAAATAAGGTATCAGTGCGACAAGAGGAAACAAAGTCCAAGGCCGCGGCTGAGGACTCGGCTGTATTCACGGCCTGATCCGCCCTCGGTTCTTCCCTGGCACCAGCCGGTGAAGCCTCCCCGGC